GGTGAGTGCCACCTCTCTGGTGAGTGCCACCTCTCTGGTGAGTGCCACCTCTCTGGTGAGTGCCACCTCTCTGGTGAGTGCCACCTTCTGGTGAGTGCCACCTCTCTGGTGAGTGCCACCTCTCTGGTGAGTGCCACCTCTCTGGTGAGTGCCACCTCTCTGGTGAGTGCCACTCTCTGGTGAGTGCCACCTCTCTGGTGAGTGACCACTTGATTGGCCACTCGCCCACCCACTCTTTGCGTGATGTGATCCGCCAGTGACCCCCCACTTACTCATCATCGCCACCCCTCCCACTGCCCCGCTGCCATGAGCAATCTACGAGCCGTGGCTTGTCATGCCAATCACCAAGTGCAATGCTCTTCTGTTCCAAGCGTTCATCCCATCCTCTCTGCTGCCTTCCCTCCTCCCTTCCCCCCCACCCCCCCTCCCCCTCTTCCTTAACCTCTCCTTCCCCCCCCCCACCAGGTCTCCTGTGTGCGGTTCCTGTCGGGCTTTGCGCGCAGTGCGGCGGTGACAGCCGGGCTGGACGGGCTGGTGGAGGTGTGGGACATGCGCTCGCACCGCAGGGCGCTCACCGTGGCGCAGCCGGCAGCAGGGGCGGCCGTGCTCTGCCTCAGCTGGCAGGAGGACGCGGGGGGGCTCATCGCCACGGGGCACACCGACGGGTATGTGGCGCTGCAGATGGCACAGCTGCTGCTGCTGCATTCCCCGCGTTGGCCTTTTTGCCTTCCTCTGCTCACTCCGCTTTGTCCCCTTTCCTTCACTCTCCTGTTACCTCTCATCCGGCCCATTCACTCTTCTTTCCTCCCTCCTCTCATCCGTGCCTGCCCCCCCCTCTCTCTCTCCCTTTCAGCACGGCGCGCGTGTGGGACATGCGAGCAGGCAGGGAGATGCACTTCCTTGAGGCGCACAGCAACTGGGTCAGGTGGGGTGTGGGGCGCACAGCTTCTGGGTCAGGTGGGTGTGGGGCGCACAGCAACTGGGTCAGGTGGGGTGTGGGGCGCACAGCTTCTGGGTCAGGTGGGGTGTGGGGCGCACAGCTTCTGGGTCAGGTGGGGTGTGGGGCGCACAGCTTCTGGGTCAGGTGGGGTGTGGGGCGCACAGCTTCTGGGTCAGGTGGGGTGTGGGGCGCACAGCAACTGGGTCAGGTGGGGTGTGGGGCGCACAGCTTCTGGGTCAGGTGGGGTGTGGGGCGCACAGCTTCTGGGTCAGGTGGGGTGTGGGGCGCACAGCTTCTGGGTCAGGTGGGGTGTGGGGCGCACAGCAACTGGGTCAGGTGGGGTGTGGGGCGCACAGCTTCTGGGTCAGGTGGGGTGTGGGGCGCACAGCTTCTGGGTCAGGTGGGGTGTGGGGCGCACAGCTTCTGGGTCAGGTGGGGTGTGGGGCGCACAGCAACTGGGTCAGGTGGGGTGTGGGGCGCACAGCAACTGGGTCAGGTGGGGTGTGGGGCGCACAGCTTCTGGGTCAGGTGGGGTGTGGGGCGCACAGCAACTGGGTCAGGTGGGGTGTGGGGCGCACAGCTTCTGGGTCAGGTGGGGTGTGGGGCGCACAGCTTCTGGGTCAGGTGGGGTGTGGGGCGCACAGCTTCTGGGTCAGGTGGGGTGTGGGGCGCACAGCAACTGGGTCAGGTGGGGTGTGGGGCGCACAGCTTCTGGGTCAGGTGGGGTGTGGGGCGCACAGCTTCTGGGTCAGGTGGGGTGTGGGGCGCACAGCTTCTGGGTCAGGTGGGGTGTGGGGCGCACAGCAACTGGGTCAGGTGGGGTGTGGGGCGCACAGCTTCTGGGTCAGGTGGGGTGTGGGGCGCACAGCTTCTGGGTCAGGTGGGGTGTGGGGCGCACAGCTTCTGGGTCAGGTGGGGTGTGGGGCGCACAGCAACTGGGTCAGGTGGGGTGTGGGGCGCACAGCTTCTGGGTCAGGTGGGGTGTGGGGCGCACAGCAACTGGGTCAGGTGGGGTGTGGGGCGCACAGCTTCTGGGTCAGGTGGGGTGTGGGGCGCACAGCTTCTGGGTCAGGTGGGGTGTGGGGCGCACAGCTTCTGGGTCAGGTGGGGTGTGGGGCGCACAGCAACTGGGTCACGTGGGGTGTGGGGCGCACAGCTTCTGGGTCAGGTGGGGTGTGGGGCGCACAGCTTCTGGGTCAGGTGGGGTGTGGGGCGCACAGCAACTGGGTCAGGTGGGGTGTGGGGCGCACAGCAACTGGGTCAGGTGGGGTGTGGGACGCACAGCTTCTGGGTCAGGTGGGGTGTGGGGCGCACAGCAACTGGGTCAGGTGGGGTGTGGGGCGCACAGCTTCTGGGTCAGGTGTGGGCGGGGGTCAGCTGCTGCGAGTCATGACCGCATTCTGCTGTATGCACCCTCTTTGGCCCTCATTATTCTTCCATTGGGTGAGCCTCTGCAGCTTCCCTCCTTGTTGCCCTCTCCTGCGCCTCGTTCCCCTTCTTCCCCTGCTTTTCCCACTCGCATGCCACTGCTCTCTCTTTTGGCCCCTGCTCCGATCCCTGCTCCGGCCCCTGCTCCGCCCCGTGCCCTGGCTCCTGCTCTCGCCCCTTTCCCGCTGCCGCTCCGCAGCTGTGTGCTCACAAGGACATCATCGTCACAGGCTGCCACGGCTGGACGGCATCTGAGACGCCTCAGGTCTGTCAGGTCTCTCGTTCCCTAAACCTTGTGAGATCCTCCCCCCCCCCCCCCCCCCCCCCCCCCCCCCGCAGCTGTGTGCTGGCACACAAGGACATCATCACCAGAAGCAGCCACGGCTGGATGGCATCCGAAACGTCTCCGACCTCTCGTTCCCTCTGTCACCCTTGTATGATCTTCCCCCCCCCACCCCACCCCACCCCAGCTGTGTACTCGTGCACAAGGACATCATCATCACAGGCAGCCACGATTGGACGGCCAAGATCTGGTCGGTGGAGATGGGCGACTGCGAGAAGATCCTGACGGCCCACGGCGGCGCCGTGAGCACCATGGACTACTGCAGCTCGTCCCACCGCCTCGCCACCGGGTCCGCTGACGGCATGGTCCGCATCTGGAAGAAGGAGGACGGTGAGTGTATGTGGCATGGTCCGCATTTGGAAGGAGGACGGTGAGAGTGTGTGGCATGGTCACAGTTCATTGAATGAAGGAGGTGGCCTGACAGCATAGTCTTGGCATTGCACATGTAAGGCTGTAGACAGGTCCCCCTCTTAATTGGTTTGAAGGGGTCATCCCTCAGTGAGCCATATGCACACAATCTCCATACGCCACTCTCCATGCCGCCCCGTCTCTCCCATTCCCCTTCTTTCCTCAGACCCCGTGGTGGCAGGGCGGCTGATGGACGAGGTCATGGGTGTGGCCACAGTGGGCATCTCGCGCTCACCGACGCCTCTCTCCCATCCCCCTTCCCCCCCCCAACAGACCAGTACATCCCGCAAGAAACGAGCGGCTCCTCGTCAACAGAGCCCGTGGTGGCGGTGCGGCTGATGGACGAGGTCACTGGGGTGGCCACGGCGGGCAACCAGCTCATGTTCCTCGAGTTCACCGACGCTGACGGCCGCGTGGGCGGCACGGGCAGTGGCGGCGGGGACCCCTCCACGTGGGCTGTCAGCAAGATGGTGGCCAACATGCCGGACGTGGTCAGTGGTCGCACACATACCCATCGAATTTCCCCCCGGGGCCATTGTTGTCATTCGTTCTTTCATTTGTTTTCTCTCGAACCTCCGTACCAAAGTCTGACTCCTGCCAATCATTCCTGCTTATTCCAACTCATCCTCTCCAACCCCTCACTCGGCTTTGTCTCGCACTCCCTCCCTGCAATTCCCTCACTTGCCCTTGCCCTTCCACACACTCCCTCCCCTCCTGTTCATCTCTGTCCCCCCAATTTCTCTTTCCTCCCTTCCCTCCTCTCCCCCCAGGTGCGCCACGTGGCAGTGGATCTGGACTATGGGCGCATGTGCAGCGGGTCGCACACGGGGGCCATCCGCATCTGGGACGCATTCCCCGAGGCCGCAGGGGCGGCAGCAGCGGCCGTGGCAGCAGGGCTGGGCGGCGTGCCGGTGGCTGCCGCCCCCAACAAGTATGACCTGACTGGCGTGTGGGACAGCTTGGATGCTGCCAAGGAGGCGCAGGGGTGAGAGCAGGAAGGCGAGTGGATGGCAAACAAAGCAGAGGAGCAAGGATTAGGTGATGAGGCAGCAGTTCCCAAGGAAGAGGATCATGTGAAAAATAGCACAGATTCTGCCTTATTTAGGAGCAATGGGAGCCTTATGTAGGTTCAGGGAAGGGCTTATCCCCAAATGGTGGTGGTGGTGGTGGTGGTGGTGGCGGTGGTGGTGGTGGTGGTGGTAGTGGTTATGCGTCATTACTAGCTGAGCCAGTTTCATCTTAGCCAGTATACATATGCTGCTTCATGCACGGAGGTATTAGCTGCCACTATGGTACTGTGTTCCATACAAAATCGATTTGCCTGATGGGTGTACAGCACATCATATACTACTAGGTGGGTGTACAGCACATCATATACTACTAGGTGGGTGTACAGCACCCAAGGCAGCGCCAGATTGCTGAAAATTTATGTAGAACGTTAGGACACAGGCCAGCTTAGTTGTGACGAATGCGAAGCCTGCTTATAAGGAGTTCGGGTCTTTCGAAGTCTGGGGCAGGCCTTGCCCCGTCAGCATGGATCGCAACCAAGAGGGGCTTGATGCCATGAACAGTTGACTCGTGATGCGGTTCGATATGGTGCGGGTGGTTCTTCCTGATGCACCGAACCGTGATTGGACAGAGCAGCAGAACGTGGAACAGATTCCGTTGAATTTTAACCAAGCAGGAGCGCGGAGAAGTGGCGCCCCCCTCTTGCCCCAAGGGGGGGGAGCAGGGGAGGAATGCTTTTCGCCACACAAAAGCAACGCCTCCCAGCTGTTCGCTTCGCGCACAGAGGCGCTGCTTCGACCCTGTGCTCGCTGAGGGTAAGATAGGAGCCAGGGAGACTAAGATAGGGCACGCGCTTACTTCTCGTGACAGCACATCTTGGCACGAGTTTATCCTCAGACTTCTGGTTCGATCTCCACCTGCTTTGTCCCGCTTCTGTTTACAGCTCCACCCTTCTCAAGACAAGTTCTGGCTCGAAGCTGCATACTGAACTGCTGTTTAGCTCCTCCAATCTCTCATTCTTCGATACGACCGTCGTCACGACGAACACTAACGCGGCTGTACCATGGCCACCGTAGGAAGCCAGAAAGTAGAACTCCCTTCCGACGCAATAAAAGATAATCCCCCAGACGCCAGTCGCACTCAGTGCGATGCTTCTCACAGAGGTTCTTTTCTGGCGATTCCGCGCTCGCGCAGTCGCGTGGAGGACGTGGAGGTGCACGCGCTCGAGTGTCGCTTGGAGCTGCTTAACGCGCAGCGCGCGCTCAGCGCCGTGCGATGCCAACAGTTCATCCAAACCCTGCGCCAATCGTGCGAGCACGCTACCAACTCGCCACCACCATCGACCGATATTTCCGCTTTCAGGTTGAACGCAGCAACCGCGGAGAAGCGATGCAGCGTCGAGCGCCCCGTCCCGCGCGCCAATCCGTTCAACGCGTCGAGCGGCGCCCCCGCGCGCTTGGCGACGGAGAGCAACTCGGAGAGCACGAGCTTGTCGTCAGACGAGAGCGACTTCGACGACGAGTTCGAGCACGCCAACAGACGCGCCCTGGCGTCGCTATCGTCGTCGCGAAGCCCACACTCGGGCGCCACGTCCTCTTCCTCCGTCGCCACCCCCGGTAGACACCATAGTAGCGTGCGATTCGCGCTCACTAAGCCGCTGTGCGAATCTTTAGATTATCGCCGTGGCGACAGCGGGCATCGCATGGCAACCCCGTCTGCGCGAAGCCGGTCAGCTCGATGGATGGAAAGCTCAGCGACGTTATCGGAGAATCGTCCCAATGGTGATTTCGGGTTTGAAGCTGCCTCACCCAGTGCTGCTGTTGGGCGCTGCCAATCCGCGCGATGGGCAGAAGACCTTCGATTCTACGACGACCCCGTGCCTCGTCGCCGCTGGACTTCACCAGCAGCTTCCCCGTGTGATTCATTTCGCACACATCGTGCGCTTCGCCCATGTAACACGTCGCCAAGCCCGCAACTGGAGAAATTCAATGCACCTCGACCTCGCAACACAAGCAAAAGGCGTACAAGCCTAGATTACCCCCATGAAAGCACCAACATTTTCTCTTAATTTTTGCTTTTTGTAGCGTGCGTTGGTCTATTACTATTCTTTGTATTACACAATATCATTGTGATTTGCAAGATGTCATTACCTCCTGTACCAGAGCAAGCCATTTCAGCCTTGACCAAGTATTTGCTTTATGTGCATTTCATAATGGAAGCTCAGTCTAGGTGACTTGTTCAGAGGGGTATGTGTCAGGATACTTCAAGCAGAACGTCCAATTCAGCATTGAGGCATTAGGGCGCGTCACAAAAGTGCGTCCGATTGCAGTTCGACAAGTTATGTCGCGGTCTAAAACAGTCAAATGACTATCGAGAACGGTTGAGTATGGAATTTTGCGAAAACGTACTCCTGTGACACGCCCTTAGTGTGTCCGTGGCTCAAGAACATTACCGCCAACGTGCACGGAGTCGGCAGTTTGAAAAATTGATTCAATTTTCCAGGGTTCCGCAAGAAGCTCCACTAGCCGTAGTTCGGCAAACGATTTGTCCACCACGATGGCCGCCCGAGGCGGGGACAGAGGAAAGATGCATTTCGAGACGCATTCGGGAAACAAGAACTAAGGGAACACTAAATCTCACTGTTTCGCGGGGAGCGCTAAGGGAGAGAGGTGATGTGCTCGCATTGCTCGAGGTCAGGCAAGGGGCTGGCGTCAGGGTGACGCCAGCCCCTCGGGCTCGTTGGGAACTCGCACATGTCAGCCAGCCGCCATCCCTGATGCCTCTGCCCCGCATCTTGGAAGGATCGCTATCGACCAGGAACGAACAGAGAAATGTCGTCGTAGACTGTGGCAAGCGTATGCGTAACCGCGCATTGCGACGCGATGACGAGGATGTGCAAATTCCAGAAGCACAAGCCTCTTCCAGCCAAGTCAGGCCATCTGGGGAGAATGACCTGGATAGAGCAGACTATGTCGTCAATGGCCTGACACCGCTTACTGAGCTCCCTCTGCTCAGGCCAGTGCATGCCTCTTGCTAACAGGGCAATTACCCTTAATTTCGAAAAATTAAATAGTAACTTTTCAGGTGATTCCGTTATTTTACAGTGCGATTTTTTTCCGAATCCGTCTAGCTGAAGGAAAAAAAAATCGCCGATTCCTTAGCCTAAAGAGTAATTTTTTTCCGAATCCGTACGGGCTATACTTGTAGCAGGGCAATCTGTAGGGGGATTATACTCAGCCGCCCCCAGATCCCCCCCCCCCCCCCCTTCCCCCTCCCGCGCCTTTGATCACTTGCTAGCCGAATTTGTAGCTGCCGATTCTTTTTGGTAACAGGTTTTTTGGGGGAAATTCAGTATGTTAACGGGTAGTCCCGAGGCGATTCCGTCCCTTTCTGGGATACCCTGGGGCTTAGCGAGAGGCCTGGGCCAGTGCCGCTGCAGACTACCTCAGGTACAGTACCCAGGAGGAGCAGTGTCCCAGCACAGAAGCAGGAAACAGATGCGCAGGGACAAGTCAGTTTGGGGAAGAACCGTTCCTGTGGGTTTCAGGCAATGGCCGCCTGAAGCACTCGAGAGATCACGTGATACCAGTTTGCACAGAGATGGGAGAGGGAGAGAGGGGGGAGGGGAGGCGTGGTGCATGCGCGAGGGGTGAACCAGATCGAAATCGGGTATGCCTATTGCGAGCTCTTTGCCTCACCTGATTGGTTCTCCCCTGCCGCGACGGAGGAGGGTCCAGGAGGATCATGTGGATGGGAAATCCTTCAAAACTTCCGTGGCGGGCTTTGAGGGGCTGATCTTGTTCAGTTAATCCGCATCATTCCGTGCTGCAACCCGTAAATTCAGCAACAGCTGTCCACAAAACACATTGTTGGGGCAAAACCCCGCCACCTGAAAGTCGCGGAATGTTTCTGAAAGTTGGGGCTCCATAATATGTAAGGGGTGAGATTTGCAGTCGAATAGCGATAGAGTCACACGAACTTTCCGAATTGCTGGGGCAATGTCGAGCTCATCTTTTCGCATGCTTCGCCACAGGCAAATGGGACAGAAACGTGGAATTTGTAACAAGATATTTGTGTCTGGTCAATAAACAGAGGTCCCAACGGGCAATTGTGTGGTCATTTCGTTCCGCCCTCCATCAACGTGTGGTGGATTCGGTAGCTGTGTGGTGGTGATGTGATTGTGTGCGTTATTCCATTGCCCCTAAATCCGAGGTTTTGGAAAGTGATTCTGATTGAGATAAATGTTGCGTACGAGATTGGCTGAGCATCGACTGTACTAGGCTCGCTGGAACTGTACTAGGTTTGGTGTCTTGATTTGTTTTTTAGGTCAGCTAAAAACGGATCACAAGCCTTGGATATTTGTTGTGACTTCAAAACGCTTAGACATTCAAAGCATGATTGCTTGCGGTTTGGCCTCCCTCTTCCCGCCATATCCACATCCAATAAAACCATTTCGCGCTTTCGGTTTGTTGAAGCATTTAATGTCGAGCCACACTCACTGAAAGTGATTCAATATTGCAGCTGGCAGCTTGAATGCGATCGTCTGTGTCAACCAGGTGCGTATGCGCCTGATGCTACTTGTTGCTCCTTGCGAAGCCACACCACCACCAATGGCTAGGTGCATGCGCAGGAACCAGGCCCTAGGTCAATCAAATCGGACAAGGCATTCCCCAAGGATGACAAAATCGTGCCGAGTCAGCAATTTCTCAAGGAATCAGAAGCAACGAGAAACTGAAACCTGACAGGATGAAGCTGACCTGGAGCGGGTCGACCGCCCATGCAAGCCACACAATGCCCATCCAATCCCATCCAGATTCCTGCCCCTCTTGCGCCCGTCTCCTCGCCTTCCCTGCCCCAGGGCGCTCCCTCAGTCAGTTCCTGTGCTCCCCGCGCCTCTCCTCTCCGCCTTATCGTTGTCTGCAAGAAACTCGAACGCCCCTATCTTCGAGCCCTTGCTCGAGCACTACAAAGCGCACCCCTCTCTTCAACACATCCACCTTGAGAAACTCATTTTTTTGCTCACTACGGCTTGAACCGAGATACCACTCCCACCCAGAATCGGCAAACTTGACCATCGCGTGAAACAAGAATCTGACAATGGCCTCCGCTGCTCTCATCTCCACATCCGACGACCTCAGCTGCCGCGCCGCCTCGCGCGTAATCCGGAGCACGCTAGAGGACGTTGAGATCCGCGCGCTCGAGAGCAAGCTGCAGCTTCTAGACACGCAGCGCCAGCTCAGCGCGCTGCGCTGCCAGTCCTTCATCCATATGCTCGAGTCGTCCCTTGGGAGTGCCGACGACAACGACGAAACCAGCGACAGCGATCGGCTTTCTCGCCGCTCGTCGCGCCGGTCTTTGGATCTGAGCGCATCGCGTCGCAGCACGTGGGAGGAGGACCTCTCCTTCTACAGCTGCCCCTCCGCCTCCTCCCGCCGCCTCCGCTCCACCCGCTCCCATGGCGCGTCGCCGCGCCACCACTCCAAGTCGCTCCGCCGCCACTCGAGCCTCAACTGCGAGCTCTTCTGAACAACGACCCGCCATTTGATTCTGAACCTCACGGAGGACAAAGGTCGTCTGAACAATTGATTCTGAACAACGACCCGCCATTCTGAACTTTTGAGCAGCGCTGTCAGCCTGCTCCCTTTTCGGCCTGCAGAGGCCGCCTTATAATGATGCCTGCGCGCGGCTAAGCGGCCGCGTCTGCGCGTCAGCACTCTCACCGTGGTCTCAGCGCTCAACCTCCAACGGCTCGGAGTAATTTGTCCGCCCTTTTGTGGAACACGAGCGGGGTTGAGGTCGACCCAAGAGTCTTTTTTCTCCCCGCTCAGCGTCGCGCGATGCTTTTTCGGCCGTGTCAGTTTATTCGCGGCGATGAATATTGAGATGGACGGACCCGGAACTCTTGACTCGGCCACAAGCTGAGAACCAAGAGCGAGACTTCTAAGCAGTAGCACCCTCTGCGAAGCCACAGCTGCTAGCCGCCACGGCTACCACCAACAGCCCACAGCCGCTTGCTCTCCGTCTCCCGTTTTTTGGGGCGTCTTCGCCCTTTTCCTGGGAGGCATGAGCTAAGGCGTGGCAGGTCATGTGTACAGCCTCATTATTTTTATGGTGGAGATGTATATCCACTTTAATGTGAATTTTGTTACCAATATGAAGATTCATTTCCTACTCTGATAGTGAAATAGTAAAACAATAAACAGTGAAATAGTAATAAGAAATCAAGATTCGTACTACAGTGTTGCAACATAAGCTAACTAATTGTGAACGGCCATAGTATGTCATAAAGGCTCCACCTGTACATTGAGAATCAACTTCACATTTGCACGTTATAACTCACAACCTTACTTCACACGCCCTGTACAAGGTTTACAATACAAGGTGCACCAATGTCTGGTACTTAACAGATCTGGCTGGGGTGTGTTGCGCAAGTAGGACTTAACAGATCTGGCTGGGGTGTGGTGCGCAAGTAGGACTTTACAGATCTGGCTGGGGTGTGGTGCGCAAGTAGGATTTGCCTGAAGGAAGGTCCACCGTCTGCAGCACACCCAACACCAAGCAGGCAGTAGGGACAGCATCAGCGCAGCACGAGAAGCACCATCATGGCAACGTGAGCTGTGCACTCAGGGAGGCACACGCTGAAGGGAGCCAGCCACTACGTCAGTGAGGCAACATCATGCAGAAGGTGACAAGGCAGCGGTTTACTCGGCTCACCTTAAAGCCCTTGGGAAACTTCTCCGTAGCTGCCTCGTTGCTGACTGATGGCGCCACAATGACGTCGTCTCCATGCTTCCAGTCCACTGGTGTCGCCACGCTGTACTGGGCGGTCAGCTGAAGGCTGTCAATCACACGCAGAATCTGACAACACGTGGCCATGAAATAAGCGGGTATGGGTGGGGGCGACGGGGAATCAGGAGAGACAAGAGTAGGAGAAAAGGACAGAGAGGAGGGGAGGGGAGGGAGGGGGGAGGGGGGGGGGAAAAGGAATTTCGAAGGGGAGCGAGATGCGACAGACAAACATAGCATGCTAACAGGACAGATAAGCCTGTGTTCCGCGCCATGCTCTGCAACGCTGCACCGCACCACACCGCACCGCACCTCATGGAAGTTGCGTCCAGTGGTGGCGGGGTACAGGATGGAGAGCTTGAGCGTCTTATCCGGGCCGATCACGAACACGGCGCGCGCCGTCAACGGCAGCCCTGCGGCGTCCTTAGCAACGGCGTCCAGCATGCCCAGCCGCACCGCGATGTCGCGACTCGGGTCCGCAATTATAGGGTAGGTGACCTGGAGGGAGGGGGCGGAGACACACACAGCGGAGAGAGGGACTCGAGGAAGGGCTGCTTTGGCTAGATGACCATGCCAAGGAATGCGCTGCTGCGGATGCATCGCGGGATCTTAAATGCTATGGTTCAATGATGCCTCGACCAGATGCTATGACGTACCTTGACGCCCGGAGTGAATGCCTCGATGTCGCGGATCCACGCGCGGTGCGAGTCAGCGCTGTCGCAGCTCAGCGCCGCCACCTTCACGCCCTTGTTTGCGAAATCCTCTGCGAACTTCGCCACGCTGCCCAGCTCCGTCGTGCACACGGGGGTGAAGTCCGCTGCGCGAAGCAAGCAACGCAAAATCGTGGCGCTTGTGAGAAATCGAAGACAGTTTCGCCAAACCTGAGACCTCGCGAGATCAACAAGCAGCTTGAAGTTGCAAATCGTACCAGGGGGCACGTCCTACCGGGGTTCACGTCCTGCCAGGGTGCACGCCCTACCAGGGTGCGAGAAGAGGATGGCCCAGCGGCCGTCGATGTAGTCGTGCCACTTGATGCGTCCCACGCTAGTGTCCGCCTCGAAGTCCGGAAACGGGTCGCCCAGCTTCAGCCCCACCGCCCTGTCGCGCAGCGCCTTGCCCGCGTCGTCGCTGCGAGGAGAAGTCCCACGGTAAGCAACGAAAGGCAGTAACGAGGATGCGATGGTTCATCTATGTCAGAGCGAGAACAGCGGCGCGTAGCGAGATTTCTCAAAGCGCACACGCATGCTGCGTCCTTGCTGCGAGGGACAGTGGCCGCATAGACGGAGCAGAAACGACTAATCGCGAACGTACCTTGCGGCCATTTTTCGAGCGTGGGCAGCGCTTGCGGAGGGCGTAATACCAGATCTCGGCAGGCGGGAGGAACTTCCTTACAAGATTGACGAGATGGCGAGGAATTCAGGAGAATTTGGGGAATCCTATGAGAAACAAAGGCGCTATGTCCGGAGCAGCAGAGTGAGAATGGCAGATGCAGCACCAAGAATGCACGCAGTTGCAAACAATTTGGGGTGAATTCCAAGATTGATGATGGCCAGGTCAAAAGGTTATCACCGCACAGAAACCCATCATATCGTACCAGAACGCGTAGCACCCTGTGAACCTGACGCTCGATTGACGCTCGGTCAGTCAAAATGAGCCCCAAGGGGTTGCGCAACGGGCTGCGGAAATCGAGGAATCTTTCCCCGATATAGTTTCCCCACATGCGCAGGTACATTGTATCGTATGTTCATGCAGGTCACTTCGATCGGCAGCTTTGCATTTCTACAACGAAACTGTTTCAAAACCATATGCATACCTTGTATATCCCCCGACTTTATTAACCGAGATGCTTTATGCTGGTACGCCCCAGCAGGCGCATATCGGTATCGAAACTGTGCATACGAAGTGAACGAAATGGTCCGTGACGATGTGATTCTAGTTCGGTGGCATGTTGAAGGTGTGACAATAAAGATTCCCTGTCAGACTCTGACATTCCAGAAGGCGTGACCGAATAATCAATACACCTGTTCTACGCTTAAAAAGAATGGTTTTTTCATGTGACACGGGCCTGTTCCCCAGAAATTTCAAACCACAGGCAAACGGGAGCCCAGAAATTGCAACAGTAACTCTCGGGCAAAATGTTGAGCATTTCGACCTGACTTTGGGGGTCAATGCGGTTCAGCTCGGTACCTGGTGGGGTGGGACTGAACGTAGGGTGACAAGAGCAGGCGAGAATTGCAATTGGGACCCTAGAGGTGACAAAATCAGGCGAGAATTGCAGTTTGGACTGTGTTCGTATGAGAACCATAGTGTGGAGCAGGTGTATTTGCTCGTCTGGTGCGTTGCAGTTAGGTTTAGCGCGCTCTTGAGAGGTAGAACAGAAGTTCATTACGGTTTATAGTACCGAAATCTGGGGCCTTTGGTGCTTCCTCCTCGTGGATGCAGCCGAAATGCAAAACACAACTCACCACGGTTTCGCGATCCACAGGGATTCGATAACGGCATCAAGAAACAGAGTTGGACTAGTGGACGACGGGTCACTTGGAACTGTTCCTCAAATCACGAGCCCACTGTTGCTGAGGCTGAGTGCCCCCTGTCTCTCGGTGTGGGCAATCCGCGTTGGCACACAGAGAATCGATCACATTCGACTTGTCGTCGACGATCACCTTGCCGCCACAAACACATGGGCTGCTGACTCCACCGCTACCCTTGTGCACGTCAGCACGGTCAGCTGAATATCCCCGTTTATTCATCAGCACAATCAACCTTCTGAGCAAAGCAATGTACATTGCATAGCAAACCGGAAGTACAGTGAATGCCGTGGCGTTGGGTGGGGAGCAATAAACGTATATTTTGCCTTGCGCCACTGCACTCAAGCAAATGAAGGGCTGCCCGCAAATCCAAGTCTGTGCTGCAGGCTCGATTCCACCCGTCCAAGGGGAATTTGTCGCGTAAACGCTTCGGCGTGCCAGCAAACATTGATTTCAGGGAATCGAGTCATGTGATCCTGACATGATGCGGTGCAACAGCAACCGCAACGTGCAAGCGCGTCCCTGGAGTCGTTGGGCGAAGAATTATGAGGCAAGCGGGGCCCCTTGCACGCCTCGAGGCAGAAGGAAGCGGGAATGTCTGACAGAACCCACTTCAGCTGCTTTCCATTTCAAAGCAACAGAACTTGCTTTCTGTTCTTAGTAACTTCTAGATCAGTTGAGAAGCCACGTTCAAGCAAGGCACAGCCCTTGGCAAGGAAAGTGCAGCCATTAATCCCTCGCATCGCTCCACAACTGTTCCACGTTCACCCGCAGCGTGAGTACAGTCTTCTTGTTCCCGAGATCAGTCTGGGTTGATCCTTATCTGCTCCCATTCACATCCTAGTTGAACAAAATCCATTTCTTCGTGCGAGGGGTGCTCAACCACTCTGGTTTTACGATCAAACCATAGTAATTCGTCAACGCTTCTCTTCCCCGCCACGCCTCACGCGATTTCGAGTCCTCAAGCTGGACAGAAGCCGACATTCCCGCAAATAAGGCACGGAAATCAACCCTGGCCGCTGATCCTCGCCCGAAACGTCCTCATCCCCCGCATCAATGGCGTCCGTTCGAGTATGCGTGGACCATCACAGCCCATTAGACGATCCCTCCACGCCACGTCACCTAATCGACGACAGCCTATCGCCGTCGCAGATTATCCGGAAGAAGCTGGAAGACGTGGACACGCGCGTGCTCGAAGGCAAGCTTAGGACTCCTCGACATGCAGCGGCAGCTCTCCGCCGTCCGATGCCAGCAGTTCGTCGAGATGCTCGAATCCGAGCTCCAATCCGCCGCCGCCACGCCAGCAGCACCATCACACACATTATCGCCCTCGTCGACGTTCCCGTCCGCGTCGCGGCCGCATCGAACCCTAACGCGCATCGGCTCGCTCGAACCGCGACGGGCGCTCCCTGTGGGCGCGCAGCCACACCAGCTGCCAGCCAATCATCGACCCAGCGTGCTGCTCGCCGGTCCAGAGATGCGGCTCGGTCGACAGATGCGGATCCGTCGAGCGCGACAGCAGCGGCCGGGGATCGTCGAGTCGGAGGGACGCAGAGAGCAGCAGCGGCAGCGGCTTCAACTCGAGGGGTCGGCGCTCCCTAGACGACAGCAATGGCGGCGGGAGCTGGCGCGACGATCTGAGTTTCTACGAGGAGCCGCGGTCGCTGAGTCGCAGCCACACCAACCCGCCGTCGCCGGCTAGCCGGTCGCCCAAGAGCCCCCGCTGTAGCAGCCCGCGGCACGCCAGCCACGCGGCCGTGCGGCACAAGTCGCTGCTGCGCCACTCGAGCCTGCAGGTCGGCCATGCCGCGCCCGCCTTGTGACTCAACGGAATGTGCCTCTTGACTCTGAGAATGTGACTCTGAGGAATGTGACTCAGCCGTCGCTGTGACGAAGGGATCAGTCACTTCCTATACATTAACTCGGCCTCTGGTCGTGACACTACAGCGCTTCGTGATTATAAAGGGCGGAGCGGATGGGCTGCAAAGGCGGAGGGAGGACAGTGAAGCTAGTTCAGGTATCCAACCGTTTTATGTGGGAATACCTCTTCCTACGAGCATACTTCGTGCCAATTCTTTAGTAGCTACCATTTCTCATAGTGTCTAATAGGGCTCCCATGTAATTGAATCCCATTTTTGAGTTACACGCTAATGTAAAGTGTTTCGCTATTCTTTCCAATTCTGTGTATCGCAACTGCTTCAAGAGTATTCCTAGGTCATCGATGCAAATGTACTACCAGCCGAACAGATTTCCACACCATCTGCCATACGATGATGAGAATAAGTTAGTGCCTTAGGCACGTCGAGCAGTCGCCCCGCGCCCGTCGCGCCGTCGAGGCGCAGCGCGGCACGCGAGCGGATCCGCCTGGCGTGACGCGCTCAGGCGGAGTCGCGCGGGGCATGCCCCCGTGCCGCCGCTGCCAGCGTGCCTGTTTCGAGCCGACTCATAACGAGTACAGAGGATGCCGTGCCGCTGCCAGCAGGGTCCGTGGCGGGACGGCGGCCACGTCAGCGACTATTACGACAGCCACGACGCTTTTGACGGCGCCGGCGGCGATGACGCTGCGCCGTTTATTTCGCCGTCAGCGCATCCCCGCCGCTCGAGCGCGCCTTTCCGCGCGCCCTTCGGTTCTGGCGCAATCCGCCATCTGCGCCTGCTGCTGCTGGCGCTCGTCATCGCCGCGGCGGACCTCCTCTTCCCCGCCTGCTCCTGGCGCAGCTTCCGCCTGCTGCGCGCAGGCGGGGGAGACTCTCCGCTCATGGGAAGCGTGAGCGCCGTGTCCCCGCCCAACGCATCATACGGCCACGTCAGTTGCTCCATAACCGCGCTCGGGTGAGTGGCCCATCGGATGCCAACGATGGCATGCCGGGGTGTGACGTCATGGTTGCATCATAGATTGAAGGCGCTCCTTCTGATTCCTCTGTTCCTCCTTGCCGTCTTCGTAACAAGTGATGTTGCCCATCCCTCCCCCCCGCACCCCCCCCCCTCTCCCCCCTCCCTCCCATACCCATGTGACCATGTTCCACCGTGCACGCTCAATCAACACCCCCATCGCATGGTGCTGTGCGGCTGCGAGTGGTGGAGAGCGGTACCAGGCATCTCAGCAGCACCCTCTCCCTCCCATCGCCCTCCCCTCATCCCCCTGTGCTCTCCGTGCTTTTCCCCCCCGCTCCTCCCCACGTCCTCCCCATTACCTGCCGCCACAACCGCTCCCCCACCTCTTGCATCCCCCCTGAGGTGGCGCCGCCCACAGCATCAGTAGCAGCACCTTGCTTCCCTGGCGGCAACCGCACCTGCACCAGCACCCGCACCTGCCTCTCTGCCTTCTCCCTCGCTGCCCCGTCTCCCTCCCCGTCGCTCCCCTCGCCTCCTGCCCATCGTCATCCCGCCTCTATCTGCCTCAAGCCATTGCTGCGGCCGCTGCTGCAGGTGATGGTGTTGCAGCAGCAGCAGCCACGCCCCCCCTGCAGTGGACCCCCCAGGCGCACAAGTACATCCTTATGCACTGCGACAGCGGCCAGGTGATCATGTGCTCGCTGACTCTACCAACCCCCAGCTTCCACTCACTCACTCACTCACTACAGTGACTCATTCTGCTGCCCTTGCTGCTCTGCCGCCCTCCCTCCTGCCATGCAGAACAGCAACCAAGTGCACTGCATTCGCATGCTTCTCCTCTTTGCTATGTCCTTTCCTAAGACCCCCCTTTATGTTTCCGTGCCCCTCCCTCCTGCCTTGCTCACAGATCAGCAACTGGGTGCACTGCATTCGCATGCATCTGCTCTTCGCGGGTCTCCTCCGCCGCACTCTCCTCGTCAACGCCCTCCCCTCCGAAACCAAGCACGGTTACAACTACTCCATCCTCTTCGACGTTGCGCATGCACGGCAGTGCTACGGTAACGACGCTGTACAGACGACTGAAGAATACTATAACGAGTATGGCAAGAAGGCGGAGCTGGATCGAGTATTGTGCTGGAGGTACGGCTCTATACCCACTACAGCGCGCGATATGAAGTCATTTGTGCATATACCAGAAGATGTGAACATCAAAGGCCATGTGTCCAAACCGGCATCGGGCACATTAGAAAAGTTCTACAGCTTTTTCAATGGGCATACGGGCCATGCAGATGTGATACTATTGGGGGATTTATACATCTACCCTTCCTTTAAAGAACTGGCGCACCCCTTGGCTTGGGGTGACCTTCCTTTTCAGCGGCTGCCCGGCTGCCCGAACATACTCGCAGTGCAGCCAGACGAGTGGGTCTTCCGGGCAGCCGAAGAATTCGTGCAGGAGAAATTCGGGCAGAAGCCGTTCCTAAGCCTGCATTTGAGAGCGGGGGACCTGCGGGCTAGCTGTGAGAAGCAGCAGCTGGACGTGGGGTGCCGGCTGGGGCCGCACCAGGTGGTGGCATGCGTGAAGAGGCAGCTGCAGCAACACGGGCTGGCGTATCTATTCATCGCCACGAATGCTGCGAACAAGGAGGTGAGTGTGCAAGCCCCAACTCTGGTCCATGCCATCGAGCTGTGAGCGGCAAGCAGCTGGACGTGGGGTGCCGGCTGGGGCCGCACCAGGTGGTGGCGTGCGTGCAGAGGCAGCTGCAGCAGCAGCAGCTGGCGGATCTAATCATCGCCACGAATGCCGGGAACAAGGAGGTGAGTGTGCAAGCCCAACCCTGTCTGGTCCATGCCGTCGGGCTGTGAGTGGCAGCAGCTGGACGTGGGGTGCCGGCTGGGGCGTGCTGGTCAGGAGGAGGTAAAGTCCTTTAAAAACACCGCTCTAGTGATTCTCATCGAGCTCTATCCCGTCTAGTTTTGCTAACACATACTTTGCAGAATCACATGGTACAACTGAGCCCGACCATGTGAGGCTGCTTGAGAGAGCGGGTGACATACATCCCCATCAATCCCCCCTCAACAACCCCCTCCCTCCCACGCCCGCCACCAGGTGCAGCAGCTGAAGCAGCTTTTCCAAGCCAGGGACCCCTCCCCTCCACCACCAGGCCGTCTGAGGCTCGGCTGCTGGAGAAGCCCTGCTTGGAAGCCCTGCTTGAGAAGCCCTGCCTGGGAAGCCCTGTCAACTACCTCCTCAGCAATCCCCATCCCCCATAACCCCCTCCCACGCCCACCACCAGGTGCAGCAGCTGAAGCAGCTGTTCCAAGCCAGGGACCCCACCCCTCCGCCACCGCCAGGAGCCCCCATCCCCCCCCAGGCGTCACCACCCACGTGGTGGCCGGCGTGCGCGGGTGGCCGG